ACAGTCGACGGCGACGGTATCTAAAGATGCAAAGCAGACTCATTATCTTGAGGTTCACATCACCATTGGAGCACTCACTTGTAGGAAAATATTAGGTATAATATATGATATAAGTTAGTAAAAGTTACATATGCAAACACGGAGGAACTCATCCTATGCGATAAATTCGGGAATCTTACACTGTAAAAGAAACGTATTAATTGCTATTGAGTTATAAGTACTATACATGTCGATGTTAATTGCACACTCACGGCACAGTCTATGTTCTTCTTAGTCTGTGCCCACGGTGTACACTAAGATCGCCAAAGCGTTTGCCGTGCTTTACTTTCTCAGAGAATTTCAGTACAACAGATAAAATACAGCAGTGCACGCACTGATATTTGGCGGCAAATATGGGTAATGGATGCTACCTACCCACTTATACTATAATATAAAAACACATAGAAGTAACATTTTTTTTCGTTAACGTGAGAGAGATCGTGGTGTGCATTTTGGATTTTCTAGAATTTTTGTATTATAGTGCTTATTTAGAGGGCAGAAACCAATTTTCAAGTAAAGCACCATTATGTCACTCGACAACGATTTAAATAGTGAACCGTGAGAACAAGGGGCGGCTGTCCCGAGGGATTTCGCTAACCGCCGCCCTCTATCGATAAACACGCCATTAAAGTCCTCCTTTCACACTTAAATCATTTAATTACCAGCGTAATTGTTTAAGTAATTACTGTTATTTAAAACAAATAACGGAAGTAACTTGCCGCTCCTAATACAAATAATTTTTTTTTAGTTTTTTTTTGTTTTATACTTGCAGCCAGCCACTGTTTCGGCTTGGTTGGATCCATTAATGTAGCGTAATTTATTTATTATTTATTATGTTATGGGAAAACGACATCTTACATATCTTAAGTAAATAACATGTTTAATTTACAAGAAGCTCCAGTAACAGGTTCTCACTAATAGAAATACAATAAAATAATGTGTCGTCGTTTAAAGGACATAGCACAAACACGAGCATCAAAAATGGAATCTAATTTAAAAGAACAACATTCAACATACATAAATTTAATAAGTAAATCAGAGAACAATAGCCAAAAAGAAAAGAAAACTAGGACTATACGCACTACATAATATTTTTTTTAAATTAATTACGACACAAAAACCTCTCGACTAAATGCCCGCCTAGAAGACGCTCTATTTGACCTATTAAAAATTGTAAAAGAAAATATAAACAAAAAGCTAACTAATGTAATCGTTTCATTGGATATTGAAGGCACGTTTGATGGTACTTGGTGGCCTGCTGTACAATACCAACTGAAAGAAAAACGATGCCCACAAAATTTAAGAAAATTAATATATAGCTACTTCAAAGACAGGAAAGTACGGGTTAACTACGCAAATCGGCAATTTCACACAACAACGACCCAAGGGTGTGTTCTAGGGTTGATTGGTGGACCCACATTTTGGAACCTTTTTTTAGACCCTTTACTGTATAAATTAGAGAACCAAGGAGTACATTGTCAAGCTTTTGCAAATGATATAATACTTGTGTTCTCTGGAGAAACTGACACATGCATTGAGAAACAGGCTAATGAAACATTAACATCATATATATTTAGTTGGGGTATGACAAATAAATTAAATTTTGCACCAACAAAACTAGACAGAGTTGATTACAAAAATACTGAAATATCAATATATATGGGGGGTACAAAAATAAAAATAACTGAAGAAATAACAAAAATTGGTGTAATTATCGATAATAAACTTACCTTTAAGAGTTATGTAACTCAAGTATGCAAAAAGGCGATATTATTATTGTACTGTTTGGGAATAAATTTACAATAAAATACGAATTACGTAGCAGGCAGTTTTAATCGCTCAAAGCATACTGACAATTCTTTCCCTACCCGCTTATATTATTATATTATCACTCTTTAAATACATCACAATTATACAAACAAATATCACGTATGGCAAAAATAAAAAATGGGGACATAATCCAGAAATTATAAGAACCATATATCTGACTGTAGCAGAGCCTATATTTTACGTGGTAGAGCCATGTTGCAGCTATATTAGTAGTATAGTTGCAGCACGAATGGGTCGGCTCGACCGGAGAAGGACCACGCTCTCACAGGATACCAACGTAAAATATCAGCTTAACGCTGCTGTGTTTCGTATGGTGAGTGTAGAGAACCGGAGACCCCGGAGACTGGAAATGAGGCATTCCATCTTAATCCTCACGGGTGAAAACGCATCTACATTTTGATTTGTAATAGAAGATAAATGTAGATGTCTATGGGCCGCAGCAACCACTTACCATCAAGTGGACTGTGTGCTCGTTTGTCACCCTTATCCTATAAAAAATGTATGCAGCTGGTACAGAGAGGTTTTGTTCGGAAAATATGTCGCAGCTACAGGACTGTATCATTAAATTCTGCCTTGTTACTGTTCGGATTACTGCCTTTACATATTAGAATTCAAGAAGCCGAAAAGTTGTTTAAAGCCAAAAACGGAACATAAATAATGATGTTAGCCGATACAGCAATCCAATTTGAATGTATAAGAGTTAATGAATTTGAAGACCACAAAAGAAATTATACAGCAGATTCTCACATATATACAGATCGAAGTAAGATTGAAGGAAAAGTAGGCGAAGCGCTAATATACTGGAAAAATGGAAAGAAATCAAAACAGGAAAATACAAACTAGAGTCATTTTGCACCAGCGTACAGCTCTGCTTAAATCAACAAAGATAATACACAACAGAAAAGAGATTTTAACACATATATACAGTGACTCTAGGTCATCATGAGAATACTTAGTACAGGTACTAAGTAATTTGTAAAACGTAATCGTGTCACCCTCTCGTATTCGAAATAAAACCCCATATATCCAAACTAAAGGAAGAAGGTGGGATAGTCAAATTTTATTGGATTGATGCCTATTGTAGAAAAAGCAGATCATCTAGCCAAAGAAGCAGCACTGTACACAAAAACAGCTACCCGGTGTGACAAATGTCCTCTCTCCTATATCAAAAGAACATTGCGTGAAAAGTCAATAGAGCAATGGAGTATCAGATACAATGAAGGTGAAACCGCTGAAGTTACAAAACTCTTCATGCCTAATGCAACATCTCCATCTGCAAAATTTATTTAAAAAAGAAAGTTCCGCTGCATTTCTTGTTGGTTCTTCCCAGGCCAGAGGTTTTGTTTCTGAACCTGATGGATACTCTTCAGCCGTTAGCACATACCGTTCATCAGTATTGTCATCTAGCATAAAGGAAATTTTAGTGTGAGTAATACAAACAAACGTTTTTGAACCTGGTGGTATGAAGACACGTTTGCCAAGAAATAAAAGTCATACCGTCGGGATGACTTTTTTTTCTTGGGAGAGAGGTAAAGCTCTATAATGACACTTTGGCGGCCTTTTATTGCAGTGGTTCCTCATTTAGGGCCGGAGGGTTCCTCGTTTAGCATTAGAGCTGAACCGAGTTAATGGCGCAGATATGACTTTCTGAAAGATGACTATATTTTTTATTTATTTACGTAACATTCAAATATGTACAATACATCATCGTCATCATCATTACAGCCCATCACAAGTCCACTGCTGAACATAGGCCTCCCCCAATAAAAAATCCCCCAGGCCGCCACTCGAGAATCTTTTTCCCCATCGGTAGTCAGTTCTTCGAGCTATATGGCCGGCGGATAATATGTACAACACATATTACCGTAATAAAAAGCTTAAATTATCACACAGTCGTATTCTCCGCAGTATAGCGCCAAGAACGCTGGCTGCATTTCCTCGCTAAAAGGCTATACTTAGCCTTTGAGCTCTTATCACCAGCGGCGACGACAAGTGGTGGATATAGTTCCTTTAGGAACTCCACCGCACGTGAACCTAACTGTGTGGTATCTACAACAAATGGCACATCATCTATCAGGGACTCATATTTGCGCCACTTACTTAGTTCAGCCGCCTCTGTTAACTACCGCAGCCCTAAATGAGGAACCTCTGCATATGAGGTTGCCAAAGTGTCTTCACACATAACCACACAAGTTAAGAGCCGAACGCATACAGGCTATAACTTTTATGGCGAAACAATTATTTCTTATTTTTCGCAGTTCACCTGATGGTAAGTGGATGGTGTGGCCCATAGACATCTTCATTTATTCACAATTAAGAATCAAAATGCAGATGCGTTCTCACCCCTGTGGACTGAGTTGAAATGCCTCATTTCCAGTAAAAAGGGTCTCCGGTTCTCTACACTCACCATACGAAACACAGCAGCATTAAGTTGCTATTTTACGCTGGTATTCTGCGAGGGCGTGGTCCTACCCTGGTTGAACCGCCCATTTGTACTGCAACGATAATATAGCATAGCATGGCCACTGCAGCATGGCTCTACCACGTTAAGTATTCTCAGTGGACTCGTACTGTTTAATTCGAAAAAATAGAATATCTCCGGAGCAAACCGCCAAGTATCCGCTAACTCCGCAAGTAATGTACACATACTCTGAGATTTTTAATATACATAAAACTGTATTCTGATTGTGTTGTTTACATTGCTTATATTTGATATTAAAAGATATAATCATGATGTGTTAATACTAAAAGTATAAAACAAACGACTGACTGAGCATAAGGGTCCAGAGACGCAATCCAAAACAAAGAATAAAGCATTCGTAAATTAATCAAGTCCCTAACTACATTTGTCTCCGCCCAAAACAAAAGCCCCGCCTTGTCCCATGTGCGAGCGCATCTGACGTCGTCAGAAATGTAACTTCAGTATTCAGTGGACGTGATGTAGAGACAGGTTTAGTGAACGTAGTCTGAAAACTTTGACTAAAAAGTTCAACAGGATTGTGTACATAAAATTTAAAAAAAAACACACTAATAATAGTATTAAATATAACTACATACTGCTTGTGAATAATTTTAGACTTGACAACTATTTTTATTATTTTAAGAAATAAATAATAAACAAGTTGACAGCGATGGATTTCATGAAAGCAAACTTTTACATACAAAACGAAGATATGGAGAAATACGACACAATACAGCAAACAAGTTTCGAATCAAACGTATACCAAGAATCAAGTGCTTTTAATCCAGAAATGTTCCCCAGTTACTTGTCAGTGTTCTACGACTGTAGAGCGGAGAGAGCTGAGGCATCCGAGGGTCTGGGAGGTGTTGTGCCTGATGCATGGGATTGGAGACATTGGGATAATCAAGTTTGTGTAAAACAAGAAGCTGAACTCGAAACAGGAGGGATGTCTAGTCTTAGCGAAGAAGGTTCGTATCGAATCTCACTTAATAACATTAGATGATTGTTTGTATATAAAGGAAAAAGTAAAAGTTACATAAATTGCTAGCCAAAGAGTGCAGGGTTCAAGCTTGGTTACACACGTAAAACACACCAGTGATATTCTACCCCAGCCTAATAGTATTAACAGACCAATAGTTACACATTTTAGCCGACATTAAAAAAGGAAGAAGTTGCCAATTCGATTGTTTTACAAGTTACGTGATGTCTTTTTTATATAGGATAGGGTGACATACGAGTACACAGTCCACCTGATGGTAAGTAGTTGCTGTGACCCATAGACATCTACATTTATCCTCATTAAAGAATCCAAATGCAGATGCTTGTCACCCATGAGAACTAAGATAGAATGCCTCTTTTCCAGTAAAAAGGGTCTCCGGTTCTCTACACTCACCATACGAAACACAGTAGTGTTAAACTGCTATTTTATGCTGGTATTATGTGAGAGCGTGCTCCTTCCCCGGTTGAGCCGACCCATTCGTGCTGCAACTATACTACTAATATAGATGCAGCATGGTTCAACCACGTAAAAAATCGTCTTTGTCAATAGTTAACCGATTTTTTTAATTAAGTAGATTATACTACAGGGGTAGTTCTTAAGGGTGAAAAATAGGGGGATGAAGTTTTTAGAATTATTATTTAGATGACATTCTGCGTAGGTGTTACCATGAGCTTGTGATGATATTCCTTCAAGTTTGAATAGTCAAAAAGGGCTTTAATTATCTATATCTTTATACACTGTCTTAACGCTAATTTCTGAATCTTTTATGTGGATATTATTTTATTCTTTTTTGTTAGTCTGCTTTTATTTTTTAACCGACTTCAAAAAGAAGGATGTTCTCAATTCAAGTGTAATTTTTAGTGTGTTACCTCAGAACTTTTTATAGGTGAACGAATTTCGATGATTCTTGTTTTAATTTGAAAGCTGGCTCTTCTAATGGGGCTCCATATAATTTTGATTAAGATCTGTCTAGTACTTTTTAAGTTATCCTTAATAATGCGTATTTAATTGACTTCGGCTACGTTGATCATGTTCTCATTTTATTTATATTCATATGGAAGTCGGTTGTAAAAGTTCTATTTTTATAGAAGAATGGGTAATAAATGAGCAGACAGTCCCCCTGATAGTATGTGAACAAAATATATACATCTATCCTCGATTAAAAAAAATGCACATACGTTATCACCTCTGATGATCAGTGGCAGATTATCCTTAAGAATAAAATGTAATAAAATAGAATATCGTTTATTTGTGGTTTATTTCTGAGTTTATGATAATCACAGATGTTGAAATTTAAGGCAAACTAGGCACGTGCCTAGGGCCGCAAATTATAAAGGGGCGCGTACGGAAGTTTTTAAACTCAAAATAAAAATAAGTCTACTACTTAAATTAAAAAAATTGACTTTCTATAAAGAGGTACAGCTTCTGAAGCGCGCACCGTCTACTTGATTACTCCTACGTCGCCATCATTTTCTCATCACGTTTATCCTTCATGACCATTATAAATAATATTGTAGTTTATTTGCAAAAACGGAGTTATAACTTATGATATATGGCCGCCAGAGGGACGCCGATGAGATGCTAGCCTAGAGTGCTTCGGCTTTAATTCCGCCTCTACTGAGGCCTGAGATGCAACGCCGCGTTTCCAGTAAAAAGCGTCTTCAGTTCCCTACACTACAACATTATGGTGCCATTTCTCGACGTTAATCAGTGAGAGCGTGGTCCTTTACTCGGTTGAGCCATACAAGAGGTGAAGCATGGCTGTACCACCAAAACAACCTTACACTTAAGTTATAACATTTTTTCATAGGATAAGGGTGACAAACGAGTACGCAGACCACCTGATGGTAAGTGGTTACTGTGGCCCATAGACATCTACATCTATCTTCGTTAGCGAATCAATGTAAACCTCTAGTTCACGCTGGTTTTCTGTGAGGTCGTGGTACCACCCAGGTTCGAGCCGGCCCATCCGTGCGACAGCAAAAGCTGCCGCGTGGCTCTACCACGTGTAAAACATCATCTATTTCATGGCATGACTTTCGAATTTCATAATATTTAAAAACTGGTGATGACCTACTTAAACCATGAAGTGATGGTGTAAGAATATTCCTACCTCATATCGTCCCGTGGATGTCGTAAGAGGCGACAGAGGGTAAGAAGCTGGGATATGGATAGCTGCGACTTCCTGAAAACAAATAAAAAGTAAAAACTGCAGTTACGGACTTGCCTGCTAAGTGTAGCAATTCGCTGACCTCTGGCATATATAGAGGTCAGTGTAGCAACTATAACAAATATCCCCCTATGAAGCAATCTAGGTGATGGTGATGGCTTATGTTTAGCAGTGAACTTTGATACTACATCATACTGAAAACCAGCGCTGTCTTTGCAGCAATACGCTGTGTTGAAGACCTATTTGATGTCACATTTGAATTTTGATTTTTTTGTTTCATTATTAATTAATGATATGCATGTACTGCATCTCAATTGTTAATGCGTAAGCAGTCTTATTATGCATGCATTTTTGCCCCTTGCTTTTGTATATTGTTTGAAATGTGTGTAGAATGTGTATATCAAATAAATAGTTCTTTCTTTTTCTTGACTTTTTTTTATAGGATAGGGTGATAAACGAGCACACAGTCCACCTGATGGTTAGTGGTTGCAGTGGCCCATAGACATCTACATCTATCCTCGTTTGGGAATCAAAATGCAGATGCGTTGTCACCCGTGAGGACTAAGATGGAATGCCTCTTTTCCAGTAAAATGGGTCTTCGGTTCTCTACACTCACCATACGAAACACAGCAGTGTCATGCTGCCATTTTACGCTGGTACTCTGTGAGAGCGTGGGTTTTCCCCGGTCGAGCCGACCCATTCGTGCTACAACTATACTACTAATTTAGCTGCAGCATGGATCTACCACGTAGATAGGCTGTAAAAAATGACCCATTTCACTCAAAAAGTTTCTAGGGTAGTGATAGAATACTGAAGGCTGCATATTGGCTGTAATGGTGTCTTTCTGACAGACCCAACTACGTGAACACTGACTACGAGTTTTAAGTTTTTTTTCTGTTAAAAATTAAAAAGAAGTAACTTTGCATTGTTTTCGTCATCTCATATCGCCTCGCGGGTTGTAAGTGAAAACTGTAACCGAAGATCAGCAGAAGTATCTTCGTGGTAGCAACTCAAATTAATAGTGGTTTCCAACCTCAGGTGAGCAACTTGCAGCAAATGTCCAATATTCGCAAAGACAGTGGCTGCTGCGGTCACGCCAGAACCGGTTTGCATAGGTGACGACGGTCCCCCTACGAATTGTCGACAACTGACGGCTCCGTGGCGCAGTGGCTTAGCAATGAGTTGCAGCGCTACGGGCCGCGGGTTTGAATCCAGCACGGAACAAGTATTTGTATGACCTACAAATAATTGTTCCGGGTTTGGATGTTTGTCCTTGTGAAATTTATGTATGTAAACTCACGATACAGGAGAAAATCCTAGTGAAAACCATAACAAAATTTTCTGTGGTGGACTTTTACAGCTTGGATTGGATGGAAGGATGGAAGTAAATTGGTATTGTTTGCTCGTAACACTGAAATATTATAGTAAAATGAGGAGAAAGTTTCAAATTTGAACACTAGCGTAAATAGCAGCTTAATGTTGCTGTGTTTCGTATGGTGAGTGTAGAGAACCGGGGACCGTTTTTACTGGAAATGAGGTATTGTCAGGTGACAACTGACAGCGCATCTGCATTTGGATTCTTAATCGAGGATAGATGTAGATGTCTACGGGCCACGTCATCCTCCATATAGTTGCACATAGCTGACACGCACGCACGCAACCGCAGTTTTTTCTACCGACTTCAAAAAGTAGGAAGTACTCAATTCAAACCTTGATCAAATTTATATGGAATGCCATGGCATTCCATATAAATTTGATCAAGGTCTGACTAATAGTTTTTGAGTTATTCTTAATAATTTACGTTGAAGTCACTTGAAAAAAAAAATTTAAATTATTAATTTTTTTAGTTGTTGTCAGGAGCTTGATGCTGTCCATCTCCTGGTTTGTTTCTCTTTGTCACCTGTCATGACATCGCTATTGTTTCACACCCACTACACGACACAGCTAACACATACGCACGCACCATACGACTCCTCTATAAATTGCCTCATAGTATCCCCCACATTTGCCATAGCTTGGCAAGCGGGTTGGCAGCCGCAGTTTTATATTATTGAGAGAAGATACTGCCGTCTATTTTCTGTTTTATTTCTCTTCGTCTTTTCTTTAAACAGCCACGTGATATGGTGTACTTGATAAGTGTTTTATTTCACTCTATCGCCTCTTGTAAGAGTGAAAAATCCATAAAATGAAGTGGGGTAGTGGATTCTTGTGGAAATTTTCCGGCTGGTGAAGAATTTGTACGCGGCAAAGCCACGCTGCAGCTGTGTTTTTTTTTATAGCATAGGGTGACAAACGACACACAGTCCACGTGATGGTAAGGGGTAGCTGTGACCCATAGACATCTACATTTATCCTCAATAAAGAATCAAAATGCAAATGCGTCGTCACTGGACTAAGATGGATACCTATTTTCCAGTAAAATGGGCCTCCGCTTCTCTACACTCACCATACGAAACACAGCAGTGTCAAGCTGCCATTTTACGCTGGTATACTGTGAGAGCGTGGTCCTTCCCCGATCGAGCCGACCCATTCGTGCTATACTACTACCCATACTACTAATGTAGCTGCCGCATGGCTCTACCACGTAAAATGACGAAGAGCAACTTTATACATAGAGCGACGCTGCATCTATATTTATACGTGGTAGAGCGCCGCTGCAGCAATATTATGGTTGTAGCAGTAGCTGTGCTAGCGTGGTCTATACCCGGCCTGCTTGCCAGAAGTATAGCAGCGTGAAATATCAGAATAATGCTGCCGTGTTTCGTGTATGAGTGCAGAAAGCCAGAGACTTTCTTTCTATAAACGAGACATTTTATCTTAATCCTCAAGAGTGACAACGTATCTGCATTTTGTTTCTTAATCGAGGATACTAAATGTAGATGCCATTAGACCATCCACTTACTATCAGGCACACAGTCCATATGTGCTCGTTGTTACAATTATTCTATAAGAAAAAAGATAGTATTTTTGACCTTCTTTGTATGTATTGTGTGCTACATATCATTTTAAAAATGTATAACGGTATCCTTTTGAAGTTCTTTTGTTTTTTTTTTGCTATTTTAAGCTACGGCTCGATAATAATGCTACCTAAAAGTATGCCGTAATTTAGCCGCATATTGTAAAGCGCACTAACTTAGCTAAACAAAATACGATCACCCGATTCACTCTTGCCTTGTAGACACTCGCATTGTAATTGAATTGAAGACAGACGCTGGCGAATTATTCCACTCATTTACTGTATACCTACGTTTGCGTGTTAAGTCTAAAACAAAGAGAAAAGGAGACTTGACAAATGACTATTTCTTGGTTGTTCACCGATGGAAAGGGTTTAAGTCTCGTAATTCCTACGCACACGCTCTAAAATGTATTCTATAAAAAATTACAGTATTGGTTTTAACTTAAGTTTTGTTTTGTCACCAATAAGTCTCTTAGGTAATAGTCTTTAGGGAGGAAAGGTTCTCGAGTGGCAGCCTAGTACTGGTAGGAGAAGTGTAGGGCGATCCCCCACGAGATGGAGTGACGACCTGGTAAGACCTGTAGGAAGTCGATGGATGCAGGTGGCTCAGGACCGTGCTTTGTGGCATTCCTTGGGGGAGGCCTATGTTCAGCAGTGGACTTGTGAAAGGCTGTAATGATGAAGTCTCTTAGTACTCCTCTACATTAAATCTAAAGCTGCTATAATATGGTACGTTGTCACAACAGCCCATGACAATCAAAATGAAGATGCCTGCCTTCACTTTAATTTTTTTCTTAAATCAGATTACACGATCTTACATCGATATAGAACAGAACACTGTCAAACAATAAATATTAAATACCACAATGTCTAATGTTAAATAAAGTGATATTATACTTTGTATTAACAGGACACAAATAACTCATCTTTCAAAACGATCTTTTTTATGTGTAATAAAAAGTTTGGTCAACTTGAGGACTGAGATGGAATGTCTCGTTAAGCAGTTAAACGGTTCGCCGGCTCTCATCATTCACTGTAGACATGCAGCATTTTCAATCTGCTGAAGCGTGGAACTACGAAAATAAATATTATAAAACAGTAAATCGCACAACTCTTTACAATATAAAACCTTCCCCGGATCTAGTTAGCTCTAAACATAATGTAAACGAAGGTTTCCTTTATAGGTCTTGCAAATGAACTATAAAATGGCCATAAAATCCACCTGCGAAAGGAAAACCGTAAAACATTCCATAACAACAATACCTAGGCGCCGGCGCCGTACCATATGACTTTAATCATGTACCATGTGGCATGGAATCTACTAGGTTAGGTTCGAATAAATTGGATAAACAATCATTTGTGCATTGTAACTTGTGAATTCTACTACAACATTGCGTTATGATCTTTCCTCATTATTTTTCTACCGACTTCAAACTCAATTCGACTGTATGTTTTTTTCTTTTTTATGTGTGTTACCTTATAACTTTTTACTGGGTGAACCGATTTCGATGATTATGATTTTGAAAGCTGGTGCTTCACATGTTTTCCCATATAAATTTGACCAAGGTCTGACCAATAGTTTTTAAGTTATTCTTAATAATTTATATTGAAGTTGGTCGTCCAAAATTTTTAATTTTTAATTATTTTTTTACAAAACTGAAGTAACAAACGAATTTACAGTTCACCTGATGGTAAGTGGCTACTGCAGCCCAAGACCAACCTAAATTACCCACAATTTCAAACAACGAAACGTACAGATGCGTTATTATCACTGAGGAGTGATATGGTACGCCTCTCAGCCTGTTATTATATTGGCTCTCTGAAATTAAAAAAAAAAACATTAAGTATGTCGCCTTGCTTAACATAATTAATTTAGGTTGGTATAGAATGTAAATCACTACAATTTAGGTAGCGGCTTACGTGAAAACTAATGTTTTAAACCTTCATGTATCTGTGCACTGTTCATTTCGTCTAGGTATTTTAGTTTTTTTTTATAAAACTTTAGTGATAAAGGAACTTACAGTTCACCTTGTGGAAAGTATTAGCTATTGCAGTATGAAGTTAGCTGCAGATGTATATCGATACATCAGCAGCTAACTTCAAACAAAAAACGCTACAGATGCGTTGTAATCTCCGAGGACTAAGATGTAATGCCCCACAGCCTGCAACTTGCAATATTGGCCTTCTATACCTTTCAGGCCAGGACAGCACTCTATGTCTGAGTTCTCTATTGCTGTTTACATTCGTTGGAGAGACGAATGAACACCCAAAACTGAATTTCTGATCAAAAGTAAAAACTGACTTTAAAAACTAAAAGGAATAAAATTATTTCCATAGCAATGGCTTCTGAAGTAGGGCTAGGACAAAGTGTAATGAAGAATAGAAGCCCCAAATTCAGTAGCTATTTTGAATGTTATACTTTTATTAGGGTTTCGTACCCGAAGGGTAACCAACGGGCCCCCATTTTTTATAGGATAATGGTAACAAACGAGTACACTGTCCCCCTGATGTTAAGTGGTTGCTGCGGCCCATAGAAGTCTACATCTATCCTTGATTACGAATCAAAATGCAGCGTGGCTCTACCGCGTATAAAAATTGCTAATGCTACAATAAATTAGAAAATTATTTATTTGTAAAATATCTGTGAAAATATTTATTTAAGTACAGAAGTCAGATCAACAACGAGCCGCAAGGAGCGTACAGCTTTCACCAAGGCACAGATTAAAAGTCTAGAAGCAGAATTTGCGCGGGCCAATTACCTCACCCGTCTGCGTCGGTACGAGATCGCCGTTGCTCTACATCTTACTGAGAGACAGGTACCATATATTTGAAAAACTTTTTAACATTCTTCAATTAACTTGACTTATGTATGTATGTACCTAGATACCTATACACGTATTGTATTATTCCATTCATACATCCATTAAAGTCTACAGCTATCGATATGTTCAACTGAACTGTACTGCAGTCCGTACACTAAACTAAATATTGCGTAAATTGAAGGTTTGTGAATTTCATAAGACAATTATTATTACATTTTATTTAAAAATATGTTTGTTTAGATTAAGAGTATTTTATATTAAATTTTTATATTTTAGCTCTAAACTATCTTATTTTTTATTAAATTAAAGTCTTCGCGCATATGCGACTCTACTATATCACGCGCATGCGCGAAGACACAGAGTAGCGCACAATTTTTGTTTGGTAATAGCTTCTCTAGTACGTAGGTAGTACATATAACTCAATGTCTATAGCCCTGTCTTACCAGCAACAAGCAAGTCAGGAATTTGCATTTAGAAAAAGCCAAAATTAGGGGCTTTTTAGGTACTAATTAGGTGCTAAATTTAAAAATTAGGTGCTCTAAAATTTTCACCGCAACGAATTGTTGAGATTTGCGTTGCTGGCAAAACGTGTCGCTAGCAACGCGGTAACGATAATAGATATACGAAAATATCAATAGCAAGGAATTAAGTGATAATTAAGTGCTGAAATATTATTGAGGTCGGATGTAGCTGACGGTAATATTCTGCGAATTATCGGATCCAGGACCACCATTACTGTACTATATAAGGTTTTGGCGTTGCTGGTAAAACGTATTGCCAGCAACGCAAATTTCAACAGTCCATTGCGGTGTCAATTTTAAAGCACCTAATTTTTAAACTTGGCACCTAATTAGCACCTAAAAAATTTGGCTTTTTCTAAATGCAAATTCCTGACTTTGCATTGCTGGCAAGACAGAGCTGAAGTCTACAGGTGAAGAAAGACCTCATCCCCCATAGATTGCCTTATAGGAGGATAATAAAGTCCCGCTGGGTTTCATGCTGATTCTTGCCAACGAAACAGTGGTAAATTAAACAAAAGAGTGACTTTCAATATATATTACTTATAATCTATATTAAATAAAAAGTTTCTGCTTCTGTTTGCCACAGTTACCACGTTTGACAGGCGTGTTGGTAAGTTTTTTTCAGAAAGCTAACGCTGGGCATCTTTCTTTTTCATTCCCTCTGCCGCCTCTTACGACACCCACGGGATGATACGTATATATGTGTATGTTAATGTAAGTATTTATGTGTGCATGTACGAATGTAACATTATTTTATAATACAGTTTTCACACAACTCCGAATCCGGACGTCTGCATAAGGTGAAGTTATTGACAATACAATAATTTCATGACTGTGACATGTGAACAAGTATCCCTATAAGGATCATCACAGCTCATCTTTTTTTTAATAGAATAAGGATGACAAACGAGCACACAGTCCACCTGATGGTAACTGGATGCTGCAGCCCATAGACATATCTACATTTATCCTCAATTAAGAATCAAAATGCAGATGAGCCGCCACCCCTGAGGATTGAGATGGAATGCCTTGTTTCCAGTAAAAAGGGTCTCTGGTTCTCTACACTCACCATACGAAACACAGCAGCATTGAGCTGCTATTTTATGCTGGTATTCATATTTATATCCATCAAAATCTTTGTGTATTGCTATTAGTTTTTTCAAACCAATATTTTATATATACATTGTTTACCCAATTGGTGTAAAAATTCCTCCACAATATAACCATTTTTTTTAAAAGAAAAATATTTTACAATTAACAATTGTCGCTACCAACACACATCAGATTATAAAACATGTTTGACCAACTGTCTTGACGTCTTACAAACATAATATCAATTTGTTAGATCGAAAAAAAAAGAGTTTTCATTTCACATAATTTTTTCGCAGTTTATTTTAAAGCTCGACATTTAAAGTTCTTTTTATTGCTTTAGTGGCTTATGGAACCACATAAAAACTTATAGAAGCATTAAGTTATATGTAGTACGTAATAAAGAAGCCTTTCTAAACAAAAAATGTGCACTACTCTGTCTTCGCGCATGCGCGAGAGTTTGTAAAGTCGCGCATGCGCAGTTGATTAAGCGCGTTGCGCCTGCGCGGTAAGTTTATGTAAAGAAATATATTTTTTCATGATTTTAAGGCGTCGAACGATCGTCGCTTCGAGCTCCCCGGGGATGTACGGCGATTACTGAGGGAGAAAAACGCTGCGGTGAGGGCTTATGATCGTTATAGAACAGACAATAATAGGTCCAATCTGCGCCGCCTCTGTAGAGAGGTCAAGGAGCGCATGGCCCAGCTGAGGGAGTCACGATGGGAAGATATCTCGCCCTCGCATACAGCCTTCTGGAAGCTGGCGAGAGCTCTTAAATCAGAAAATGTCGCTTCGATGCCCCCATTAGTTAGATCTGATGGTCAGTTAGCGTTCGATGACTCGGAGACGGCCGAGTGCATGGCGGATAGCATCGAGAGCCAATGCTCTCCAAGCACCCTGCCAATCGACCCCGTCCACCTGAACAAGGTGGACGAGGAAGCGGCTAATCTGTCCGCCACACCACCAACGGATGATCCACTCCCTCCCGTTACTTTTGATGAGGTGAAAACCATCATCAAAAATCTCAAACCTCGAAAAGCGCCAGGCGCTGACGGTATTAAGAACAAAGTGTTTAACGCCCTTCCTCCAAAGTTGATCTGCCTTCTAGTGGCTATTTTCAATGTCTTATTGTCCACCTGCACCTTTCCAGAAGTGTGGAAAGAAGCAGAAGTAATCGGTATTCACAAACCGAACAAACATAGAGATAGAGCATCTAGCTATAGGACCATCAGTCTCCTCAGTGCCATGGGGAAAATCTATGAGCGCATCATCCTCAGCCGTCTGAAGGATGCAGTGCTAAGTTCCTAACGAGCAGTTTGGCTTTCGAGCCAAACACTCTAGTGTTCAACAGGTGCACCGCCTCATGGAGCAAATTTTAGATCAGGCTGCAAAGGCGAACAGGCGCCCTGTTTACACAGGAGCACTGTTCTTCGATGTGGCCAAGGCCTTCGACAAAGTCTGGCACAACGTACTAGTTTTCAAACTTATCCATACAGGGGCCCTTAAGACTTCAAAATCGTTCAAGATTTTCTTGCAAATAGATCCTTTCGTTTTCGCGTGGAGGGTACATTCTTCTCTTCCAGACCAATCAGAGCAGGAGTTCCCCAGGGCTCGGTGCTCTCCCCGACCCTGTACTCACTTTACACAAGTAACATCCCTTCGTTAATAGGTACTCATCTCGCACTATACGCGGATGATACTACCATCTACTCTTCAGACACCCACCTCATTATAATCTGCAGTCGACTCCAAGCTGCAGCAAACGTACTAGGCGATTGGTGCAGAAAATGGAGAATCGAACTGAACCCCGATAAGAGCAAAGCCATCTTTTTCAACAGAAGGTGTTATTATAACATCTTACTGGCACAGGTTAAAAAATATAAAATAGGTACGATCTCCCTCTACGGCAGCCCAATACCATGGGTCCCAGAGGGTGACCTTAGATTGTGCAATGAGCTTCTCTCAGCACATTACAACAGTTAAAAACAAGGCAAAATTCGTTGTATATCGTCTTTTCGCCTTAACCAACAAACGCAGTAAGCTGTCCCTAAGACACAAACTGCATCTCTACAAAACCTGCGTACATCCTATTATGACATACGCGGGTGCGTCCTTTGCTCACGCCTCCAAAACGAGCCTAAAACAACTTCAAGTTGTTCAAAACAAATTCCTGCGTCAGATCACAGGAGCTCCCTACTATGTGAGGAACGCGGATCTTCACCGCAACCTCGATATGCCCACTATACACACGTATCTTAAGGAACTATCCTTAAGATACTTCGATTCGATAAAGGAACACGAAAATCCGTTGGTGAATGAGGCGGGCTCGTACTCCGCACTGAGGGATGTTGCCCCCCGCAGGAGACGTCCCAAGAACGTTCTTCTTGATCCCGACGACGAGATAACTTCCATGAATAGGTCGATCCCGTCCCCCCTCCACAGGAGAGGGAACTAGTTTAGCATCTATAAACACTCACACACACTCAGACACTACTCTAGTACAGGCCACTAGGGCACACCGCATTCGCCGGCGAATGCGACGTCACACACACACACTCCGTACACGAGGTTTAACACCCGTGATACGGGGCGTTTCTAACTTTTGCGACTCGTTAACAAAATTGCGATAGCGATTCAAGCCGAGGTTCGTACCTTCTGAGGGGCCCTTGAATCGCATCGAGCCCCCCCCCCCCCCTAGCTCGAGGAGCCTCACCCCGAAAGCAGGGGTCGGGGTGCCGCAATAACTTTAACGGAAATCCCCCACAGTACCGCAGTTTTCTTAACATCAATAGTTTTAAAATATTTTAATTCGGCGACGGCAGGAGAAGAATTCAGTGACTTAATGGTTAATATCGGAATATCAGTAAAATATTTCTCAAAAACCATTGCAACGTCCTGATCTGATTCGGTTAATTTGTTATTAACACTTAACTGGTAGTTTGAATTGTGAGAGTTGATCTTACCAGTTCCGCTATTAATTATACTCCATGTCATTTTAATTTTATTAGAAGCCGTCTTAATTTTGTTGCTCAAATGCAAAGACTTGGCTGTGGAGCACACTTTTTTAAATATTTTTGAATATTCTTTTACATATTCCCTAAATTCGACGCTTATGACCTTTCATGGTAAAGATCATATAACCTATGTCTGCTCTTATGGACTCCTATTGTCGCCCATTCATTAAATGACTTCCGACTGTTCAAGGAGAATTTCTTTTTTTTGTATGTAAACAAAAAAATTGGATCATTTTGGTATGAAAGTGATGGAAGTTTTGTAAGCTTAGCAAAAACTTCCTCCATATTTTTTTCAAAAGTATCGTATATAGAAACATGGGGGTCTATAGACGCTCACAACAATGAGGTGCTCAAACTCAACATATGCCATTTCTACAGTTCGCTCAACAGAGAGGCTCACAAAATCTTTACGTTCTTTACATGACAATAATTTACTAGCTCATATTAAGGAGCCACCTCTTAAAACCGTTTCTCTATTGAACGAACTGACCACCTGGTGATTACTGAAGTTAAACATTAAGTTATAAGCTTTTAACCAATGTTCAGTAATACATAAAATATGAATATTGTTGCTATTTAAGAACAACTCAATTTCTAGCTCTTTGCCTATTATGCCTTGTATATTTTGATGCACCAGGTGTAAACAATTTTCATTATCACTCTGTGGAGTCATACAATTAAAGATTTGTAAGCTACATTCTAAATTATTACAACTGCTAGAGATTACTTCTATTGTCTCATTTTCTAATTTAAATTACTTGGTACTGATTCCAAATTACATATTAAGTCATTATACTGCTCAAAAGGAGCAGATGTCTGTGTAGCCAAGTCCTTAGCTGAGTTAATATATAAACAATAAGATAGCACATTTGCTATCTGTCTTAAAATATATTTAGATAGGTAATACCTATCTCTAGTCAAAAATGTCTTAATTAAATTATTTATGTCTATTAAATTAAATTTATTATTATAATTATAACAATTAAATGTCAAGTTTAAATTATTATTATATGAAAAGTTATTCATTACTAGATTTAAATGATATCTTATTTTATTTTCCTGCGACCAACCCTGTATGTAAGGCAATGTAAACAAGATAATTTTATGTACATTTAAAGTATTTAGATTGTCAATATATTTTAATAATTGATTTTTGTTTACATTGCCTCTTCTCCCAACAAGAATTATTAATGTGCTATTAGGGCAAAATTTACTAGCTAAAACTTTATTCATTATATGACTAAAGGATGCCCCTGGCATGCAATAATTACTTACTTACGGATATCAACAAAAGTACGGATTGCAGTACAGTTCAGTGGAACATAGTGTATGTTCGGAATTCGCAATCTAGTACGTAGTACATATATATCGATGTATAGAAATAAGGGTGAAAACGAGCACATAGACCACGTGATCGCTACGTTTGATTAAAGACTAAGATACATGTTCGTTGTCATCTCTAAGGTCTAAGACGGAATGCCTCCATACTAGTAATAAGAATCCTGAGTTCTCCACATTCACTATTACCATCACCTTACGTATGGTGGAGAACCGAGGATCCTGCAGTCAGCATTACTGCTATTTTACGCTGGTATTCTATAAGAACGGACCACATTCTCATAGACTACGTAGTATCTACATTACCTGTTTTTTCTGGAAGCATAATTGCTTTTCCACCACATATAGATTCGTGCGTGCGACGTAGTTTAACTACGATCTTAAATAACCACATTGAACGAACTTAAAACACAAAAGAACAGAATTATAAGAATTCCTTTTGTAATATCGGAACCATCTTTATGATTATTATGCACATTACCCTATACCCTACCCTCATAGGTCTACCCTGTAACCTATCTAACCTGTCCCGTGGCGCAGTGTCTTAGCAATGGGATGCAGCGCTGGGGGCAGCCGGTTCGAATCCTGCACGGAACAAGTACCTATTTGTATGGCCTACAAATAATTTTTCCGGGTCTGAATGTTTGTCCTTGTGCAATTTACGTTTGTAAACTGCCTCCACGATACAGGAGAAAGTCCTAGTGTGGGGGTAACGTTTTTTAAAAGGAAATAAGATGAGGATAATAACTGGCATATGATTTAGGGAACTGCTATGGAAGTCGGTTAGTGGTTGGAAAAGATTTGGGATAAGCCGACACTCGAGGTTCATCTTAGTAGACCTGTATGTGACCTGCTGGCACGTACTGTTAATTAAATACAGTTGCATTGAGCTTTCCTTACTGTCAGAAAATTATATAGTAAGCAAATTTCTTTGTAAAGCATTAAATTAACTTATAGGCAGGTGCTCAGGAGCACTCGTTTAGAACTTTTTTATCGGTAAAGCGGACATTCCCGAACGTCCTTTGTACCGAACTTGGCCGACTTTTCACATTTAATATAACATGCAATATAACACGTGGCAAAGCCATACTGCATATTAGTAGTATAGCTGTAGCACGAATAGGTAGGTCGGCTCGACCTGGGTAGGACCACACTTTCACATAATACCAACGTAAAATGGCAGCTTAACGCTGCTGTGTTTCGTTTGGTGAGTGTAGAGAACAAGAGATCCTTTTTTGGGTTCCGTAGTCCGTACCCGAAGGGTAACCAACGAGACCCTATTACTAAGCCTCCGCTGTCCTGTATGTCATGTTTCGTAATAGGTAGACAGTTGTATATTTCTGTACAACAAATAATAAAACTAAATTAAAAATTAAAGCGGATTCCCCTATTAGAAACGTGATTTTTTTTTGCTTTTTTTTTTTGCTCTATCTTGATAACGGCAACAAGTAAAATCTTGAAACGCTCGCAGAGTTTATATTGTTATATTCGCTGGAAAAATTGTAATAACGTAAAATTGTATTTAAGAAGTACCTACACAGTATTAAATCTTGCACGATGGTACGGAACCCTTCATGCGCGAGTCCGACTTGCACTTGGTTGGTTTTTACTGGAAACGAGGTATTCAGTTTTAGGCCTTAGAGGTGGCAACTCGTCTGCATTTTGATACGTAATCGAGGATAGATGTAGATGTCTAGGGGCCACAGCAACCACTTATCAACAGGTGGAATGTGTGCTCGTTTGTCATCCTTAACCTATAAAAAAAATTCAGCCTATATAATATTCAAACCGGTAACGAACAGCAGTGTCCAAGTTACGGAATGTCTGATAATGAAATCGACTGCCAAGCGTGAGTATTAAGGCAAATCCTCTCACTCTCACTCTCAATCTCTCTCTCTTTCTCTACAATAGGAAAGGGCGTTCATGTTGTGGACATTTACGGGCTAATGATGAGAAAGAAAAGATAATAATATGTAAACAACATAGTATTTTCAATAGTATATATACAGAGTTTATAAAAATATAATGTAGAGAATATTAAAAAATAATTGACAATTTGTTTCCGCCAGGTAAAGGTGTGGTTCCAGAACAGGCGCATGAAGTGGAAGAGGACCAAGGGTGTGTCAAAACACGCTAAGAAGAAAGATTAACAATTAAGAATGTAACTGCAGCTTTACTATATTCAGATGCAATTAGATAAATCAAATGTAGACATTGTTTGTTGTATGTTATGAAAGTGATCTATGATATAAAAAATAATTTAAACTCCTTGATTTCTCGTATATTCATCTCAATCGACAAATTTTCACCCTTATAGCCTTTCACAAGTCCACTGCTGATCATAGATGTTCTCTATAGGTTACCATAAACACTGACATACTTACATTCATCGGGTCATCACTCCATTTGAGATACAGATGGGAATGGGTGATTGATCAAAGTGTTTGTCAGTGCGAGGTTGCCACACTTCTAGGCCGGCCCATCAACTATTCAGCTTGTTCGTGTTATATTAACGATTGATTGTAAGGGGCTAAAGGGGCGTCCACTATTCCGTGAGGTGTTTAAGAGTGAGGGGGCAGGGGGTCGAGCCGAATCTCATCCAATCTCACGTGGGGGAGAGGGAGGGTCTCGGCAAATATCACGGCTTTTTTGACAAGAAATTGTAAAATTTTAAATAAAATAAAATATGGCTAAATTGCACACATTAATATTTATTACAATTTTTTTTTTTGCAAATAAACTCAACGTAATTATGCACAGGTTAACGTATTTACACTAAAAATACGCATTTTGTAAAATCTCACGTGAGATTTGGGGGTGGGGGGGGGGGGGGAGTTGAGGTGATTGAGCCATATCTTCTCTTATTCTTCTCTCACTAGGGGGAGAGGGAGGGTAGAAACGTTGCCAAAATCGCCTCACCTATGGTGATGTACACGTATAATGGATGCCCCCTAATTAACATTGAGCACAAGTATTATGAAAGTTTATCAAGTTCCGACAATTCTTAGATTCAGCTGAAAATTCAGTACCCTGCTTTTTAGCTAAACGTTGTCAGAACTATTTAATAATAAACTGTAGATGTGTAAAGTCATAGCGGCCGCTGTAAGAGATAAATGATTGTAATAGGTGATAACAGTCGATAAGGTAGGCCATAATGCTTTGTCTTAAAATCTCTATAAAATTATTAATATATGTAAGTACTTACTATGACAGGTATCTATGACTTATTTTTAAGCTATGTTAGCAAGTGACTTCTCAATATCAAGTTGTTGTTACACTAGCTAGCCATATATGTACCTAGTAACTACATAATATACTATATATTATCACGCGTAACAATTTTAGGTCTTGATGTTTATTTTATTGTATGTAATAAAAAATTTAAATGTAAGCTTTAAGATTATTTCAATAAGAGTAGGTAGATAATTAGGTTATTATTACTTAGGTCACATTTATTTCATATTTTTAAAGAAAGAAACCGCTGTCATACTTTTCACCAGAGATGTGCGAGAATGCGTAGCGAGGGATGTGTTTATTAAGAACCAATGGAATCACTTCATTTGCTTAGCCTCGCTCAGCGCAGCTCTAATGGAAACGGCTCCGTGGCGCAGTGGCTTAGCAATGAGTTGCTGCGCTGGGGGGCGCGGGTTCGAATCCCGCACGGAACAAGTATTTGTATGGCCTACAAATGATTGTTCCGGGTCTGGATGTTTGTCCTTGTGAAATTTTTGTTTGTAAACTGCCTCCACGATACAGGAGAAAATCCTAGGGTGGGGGTAACGTTTAATAAAAAAAAAATGGAAACGGCTTAGCGGAGCAAGGTTTTTGTACATACTAAACAAGGGAAGAATGTATGCGAAGGATGTGTTGCGAGGGATATGTTCAAGGGCTGTGTGCGAAGTATGTGTCCTCTACTACATTACGCATCCTCGCATCGCTCAGCGGCCTAGCACATCCCTGGTGGACACGCTCACACCGTTCCACAGCCTCGCTACGCATCCTCGCACCGCCTAGCTACTTCTCACTGGATCACTCACAACATCTCTGGTGGAAACACAGCCTTACTTGGTGATTTAAATTAAGAATCTTTGTAATATTAACAGCTAGATATGCCATTGTAATATAAAAGACCGAACTTTATTGGAAATAAAGTTAGTTGTATTTACAAACGTATTGGAAAATTAAATACATTAATATACTATTAGTTATATTTTTAATTATTATTTGGGACTCTCTCGAGACGTACCTAAATATTCGCGATCGCGACCCGAGATTAAGAACTGGGAACCAAACTTATGACCACGGAGGTGAATGGTAGGGTACCTAACAATTGATATTGAATTTCGTAACGCGTAGAGGTTGACAGAGATGATAATTTAATTAATAATTACATTATTATCAAATTACCATCCGCCTAAACCTCTATTTAATCTCTACTAATATGATTGTTTGCATTTTTACGTGGCGTGGACACGCTGCTGCTATTTATATGGCTGCGGCCCAAATGGGATTGCTCAACCGGGATAGGACCACGCTCTCGCAAAATAGCAGAATAATGCTGCTGTGTTTCGGTATGGTGAATGTAGAGAAACAGAGACTCTTGTTACTAGTAAGGAAGCATTCCATCTTAGTCATAAGGGGTGACAACACGTCCACATTTTAATTCTGAATCGAGAACGTATGCAGATATCTATGAGCCTCAGCGTTTGGTACACTGTGTGCTCGCTTGTCAACTTTAATCTATATTTCTTTTATATTCATTAAATTATTGTTTACACGCGCTTACACTATACATTGATTAAAATAACTTTTAAAGATTTTGTCGTGTTTAATTTAGCTTACTTTTAATTCACACAAAAACCACCCAATTTCGAGTGATTTGCAGCACCCATAGCCACGAGCACGAGGGAGGAACAGTAAAAAAGATCTCCGGCTTTAGCTACTATCTGCTATTTTACGCTGGTATCCTGTGAGAGCGTGGTCCTTCCCCGATCGAGCCGACCCATTCGTGCTACGACTATAATATAATTGTAGCACGGCTTTACCACGTTTAGAAGCGAGACGATTATGGCAAATCTTCCATACATTGGCAGAGTTCGACGTCCAACAGTAGACTTTTATGGGCTAATGAAGAAGGAGCTAAACAGTAACAACAATCATTTACCATTTTCGTACTTTTTTACGAAAATGGTTTGTATTTTCAAAATGAAGACTTATTTATTTTATTTATTAAATTTTTGTCGCACAAGAAAGTACAAAGGCGGAGTTAATGTTCTCTACCAGTCAGCCTAAGAAAACAGTGAACTTTAATTTATGTTTTGGTATAATAGGTCGGGGAAAAAGTTTCTTCATATTTTGTTTGTATAAAATTGCAGAAAATTCTCTTTGTTTTTACTGTTTGTATCTGGCAAGTTTTAATATCAATGCATATAGGATATTAAGAAAAAGAAAAAAAAGAAAAACACTTTCCCGCCATTTTTCAATTGCTTTTCTGTCCGCCAAAATGATTGATTCTAAGTTCTAACGAAGAAATTCGATACATTCTGAAGTTTTATTAAAAAAAGAAAAATTCGACTCAAGTCGCGAAAAAAGTTTGTGACGTTTATTAACCTGCAGTGTCAGTAAGAGTAGCACAAATTTGGTTGAAACGTTTTCGTTACGGGAATTTTGATGTCAGATATGCAGCTCGCACTGGTCGCCCTCATACGGAAGTCGATGCCATTTTTGAAAAAGTGGAGCAAGATCGGCATATTAGTAGTTACAATATAGCCGAAGAATTGCGGATTGACCACAGAATAGTTTTGACCCATTTGAAAAAGTCTGGCTGTAGAAAAAAGCTCGATATTTGGGTACCACACGAGCTCACTGAAAGAAACCTAATGAATCGTGTACTCATTTGATTCACTATTGAAACGTTATGAAACCGAACAATTTTTGGAAATATTGTTCACTGGTGATGAAAAGTAGATCACTTATGACAAGAACGTGCGAAAAGATCATGGTCAAAGGGTAATTAAGCTCCGCAGACTGTAGCGAAACCCGGATTAAGACGCAATAAGGTGATGCTGTGTATATGGTGGGATTGGAAGGAAAAACCATCGATTTGGATCTCTACTCCCAACAACTAATGAGATCTAAGCAAGAAATTGAGTAAAAACGGCGGGAATTGATCAACACAAAAGGAGTGGTCATAATGTCAGACCACACACATCTTTGGCCACTCAGCAAAATTTGAGAAAGCTTGGTTGGGAAGTGTTAATGCATCCACCATATAATCCTGACTTTGCACCTTCAGATTTTCACCTGTTTAGGGTAGTGTTAGGTTAACATCAAGCGAGGTCTATCAAAAATACTTGTCACATTTTTTTAATCAAAAATCCCAAGATTTCTACAACAACGGGATTATGTCACTACCTACAAGATGGTAACAAGTTATCGAACAAAATGGCACATATATATTATAATTTAACTTTGAAAAAAAAATGTCTTGAATTTGTATATTATAAAATACGAAAAAACTTGCCCAGACCTATTATAAAAAAAAAAAAATTATAAAATAAAGAAATGAAGATCAACAGAATAACTATATGAAAATTAACTAACTTAGTATACGTATTACTTATACTTATACAAATATATTCATAAATACATACACACATATGAATACTAACTTATAATTTAACTTTGTCGTAGAACCCCATTGTCGTATCTCCTCAGTTTCAAGGCACTCCCCTTGTTGCCTCAGCCAGTATCGGAATCCTCGGTCGACATATCGAGTGACGTTCAGTTTCGTGGTCACTTGAAAGAAAAAATCAAATTGGCCTCTAAAAAGCTTGGCGTGCTCAGCAGAGCGGGACAGTATTTCATGCCGGCGGATCGCTTGCAACTTTACAAGGCACTGTCACTACAAGGTCCGGCCACACCTGGAATACTGTTCCCATCTCTGGGCAGGGGCTCACCAGTGCCAGCTCCTTCCACTAGACCGCATCCAGCGCAGAGCGGTTCGATTTGTCGACGACCGAGTTCTTTCCGATCGGCTTGACTCACTGGCACTGCGTAGAGGTTTTGAATTTCCTTGCATATTTTTTTTTTATTTATTTATTTATCCTTTATTGCAACACACCAACTAGGGGTTACAAAGGGCGGACTT